CATGTTTTCCTTGCTGTACACCTAGCTTAATTTTTCAATATTCTGTCTGTAATAGTCTTTGCACTTACTAATCCCCCCATTCAAACCAGAGCTGAATAAACTTTAAATAAAAAATCCTATATGTAATCCCTGCTCTCTGTGATGTTTGATCCCCTGCTCTTTTTTGCTGTGATAGGGGTCAAAAATCAACTTATTGTTACTTAAAAAGAATAATAGCAAAGTAGTTACCTTGAGTAAAGAAAAACCTCCAGCAGCTCATGCACTGGATATCTCAACATTCTCCCTCTCTGAAATTACACTAGCAAAAGCTTTTCCCCTTAAAATGAACCTCAGTAAATACGCTGACCAATAATCAGACTCATTGCCATATCTGAATTAAATGCAGAGCGGTCTGAGTGCAAGCAGCACTGATGTCAAAGCAGCACCACCCCTGAGCAAGTGGCTTTAAAGAGACCCGCTTAGAAAAGTTTCCAGTAGAACAGTGTTCCAACACAAAGTGCTGACTTGATGAAACCCAAAATATTCCACAGGAATGTGCTAATTCAATCAAAACTTTTGAAAGAGGACAGGCTGGCTCAGCGAGCCAGCCAACCAGTCTAGTGAGCTGACTGGCTCTCCCCAGCTCTCCAGGGTCACTGGCTTCCCCACCTGGCCTGGTGCCAGGCTGCTAGTCCCTGCTCTCAGAGTGGCCCTTTAACAATAATAATAAAGTCTTACAAAGTGTTCTGAGAAACAAACAAAGGAATTTTAAAATTAAAACCAGAATTACTTCAGAAGCAACTGCAAGGTTTCTTCAAGAGGAATTGGTTGCGTTTGTTGCAAAGCATCTAAAATTAGTGCCCTTAAAGACACAAGTATCTCCTGTCTCCTCAAGTTTTATAAATCATCATCCAGTGAAAAAAAAGCATCAATACTGTAACAACTCAAAATAAACAATAATTATATTCAAAACCCACATTTCACCAGATAGGTCTAATCCTCAGCAGGGAGTTAAAGGCAAGTTGCTTCCAAAGAACTTGCAGAGTGTTGCTCAAGTAAATGCCCCTGCCTGACCAAAACACAGGGCTACCTTGTAAGCAACATCTTGCACAGAGGAGTCCCTAAGTGGGATCCCTGCATAACTCCCTGTGGCCACCTTGAACGAGATGGTGCAAGGGGCCTCATTTAACACTTTGGAGAAGCTCAGAGAAACAGGTATGGCTATATAATATTTTAGCAGTGGTTTTCAAAAAAACCTGTCAACTAGCAAGTAACCCATTTTCTTCCTAAAACTGGCTTTTAGCACCCTGTGCCTGTGACTAACCAGTACATGGGACCTATTCTGGCTTCTCAGCCACTCAGCAAGCAACAGCATGAAGAGTGTTTTTAATTGCTAAAAAAGTAAGGCTATTTAAGACAGTAGCACCAAACACCAAAACGTTTTTGCACAATTCCATTCATTTAACCAGCTTCTGTATCAAAATGTGTACATACTGGTTCATGTGTGAGCACCACAAGTAGTTTAAGAGATACTTGGAACAAAGTTCCACAGAAAAAAGAAAGAGCTCTTTTTACATGCCAAACTGAGTCAGCAATGAGATCTCTGTTGCAGGCAAGTCACATGATTTTGAAAGAATAAGCCTAATAAACTGTACCGATTTATTTATATGAAAATCAACACAACTTCCAGCATAGAACTGGGACAAATTTGTGACCACTCTCTCTTAGAAAACACATGTAAATCAGACAGCTGCCAGAGTTTGCAGTTCAGTGATCCTTCCTACTGCCAAATGCAGCGCACAAAGGTAGCTCAGAAAGCAATTAGAGATTGGCTGGGAGGACTTATTAATTTTTAGAAACTTCAAATCACAACTAAACAGTCTTATAACATTTTTCTGGGGAAGACTATGCCTCAGACTCACATTTAAAAAGACAGAAGGTTTGTCTTCTCAGAATGCCAAAATACATACAATTTGCCCCCTGTTGTTTCTTAGAAAGAACAACTAACACATTTACAGTATCATGAGGAAACACATCTAGAACAGAACTAGACATAAGCACAATTCAATCCAACTGCTCAATTTTTAAACATCTGACCACCTGCAAAGTCTAAGGCTCCCTTCAACTACTTGCAACACAAAATTCAGAGAGAAAAGAAGGTGAGAGGAAAAAACAGGGAAATAAATAAAGGTATTTTTCCTGCTAGTCATAATAGGACTGGGAAACCTCCAGTGACCAACACAAGCAAATGATGCCTACTTGACTCTATTTGAGTATGTATGGCATAAGACCAAGATAACAATCAGAAAGTAAAGCATAAAGAGATGCCTTCCATTTTGGGAGAAAGTATCAGAAGTTGATAGCAGCATCTTTTCTTCTCTCAAGCTAAACTTGAGATTCCTTTCTTACAGTTTATGACAAAAAGGCAGATCCATCACCAATGATCTTATCATGGCAAACATCAAAAAAATACAGGAAAAAATGCATGCATATAGACATTCATATGCAATTCTATGTAATCATGGCACAAAAAAAATATGTAATCATGGCACAGTTAAGTTACCAATCTGCTAGTTAATTCTCTTTCATTAGCGTTGTTAAAGAGATCACAATCATACCGCAAAGTAACAACTGAGCACTGCACAACTCAAGCTTTATCCTTAATTTCTTTGTGCTGCAATAACTTAAATAATCAATTATAGGCTATAATTTAAGATTTAGTCCATGACTCCAGGAGCTAACCAGCTGGAGTTACAAGGATCAATGCACACTTCTATTAAGTGTTTATGAGAATGAGACCACATTTCTAAGTAAGTGTCTCTCTCAAACCAGTCTACGTAATTTAGTAATCTTCTCATTTCAAGCTCATATAAACCATTTCCTAGAATGAGTATCAGACGCTCTTTATACAGCAGACAAACTCCTAAATTGAGAAATGACATGATGCTGGTCATATCTCATATGTGTTGCAGATTATCAACAGAGTGGCTTCAGGTGCCACTCATAGGTTTTACTTCTGCCCATTTATATGCAAGTTTTTTAACTTGATGGACTCCACAAAGGTAATAAGGTGGCCCAAAGAAGCTTCAACCGGCAGCATGCCAGCTGAGAGAAACAGTGCAGGGGGGAGAAAAAAAAAAAAAAAAAAAAAAAAAAAAAAAAAGAGAGATATTGAATATGGCACTGTTGTGATACAAATAAACATCACAAGCAATTCTGAGAGGTTATGTTATTAAGTGTTGTTTTTTTGAAAAAAAGTTAGTCAGCTGAGCACGCTCATATGTACCTGTAGGAAGCAGCAGGGGCAAAGGATTTCAGTCGGTCAACTCATAATTTGTGCTCATCCCATCAGCTGGATTACCACCAGAGCTTGCTCTCTGCCAGCTTGCCTCCTCCCACTGCACACTAACTGATCCCAAGTGCATTATCCCTCCCTGACTGAGGCGACTAGCTTCCTTCTCCCTAATGTTCAACATCCCTCAGTACACAGATTTCTAACAACCTATCTTGGAAAATGCTTAATTCTAATTACAAAAGGCAGAACAAAGAGAAACAAAGCCCCCTCTGTTAGATGAAGTCAACCTTCTCAAATATAGGTGGCAACAGCAGAAGAAAAAAAAAAATATTTACTTTTCCTGAGTGCTGTGCTTTGAAATAGATTTCACAACTGTAAGTATATGATTTCAAATTATTTTTACAATTAAGGCCAAGCCTTATTGCTATCCAGGCAAAGAATAAGGTGGGTGCAACCATCCTTCAAGACTTGTTCCAATAAAAAAAAAAAAAAATACAGTGTAGGATACCATAACAGCAAGGGAGCGAGGAGGGTCAAAGAGCCCGTAACACTGCAGGTTATTTACACAATAAACAATTTACGTTGGAAGGGACCTCTGAAGGTCTTCTGGTCCAGCCTCTCGCTCAAAGCAGGACCAACTTAGACTAAGTTGCTCAGGGCCTTATCCAGTCAATTTCTCATCATCTCCAAGGATGGAGGTTGCACAACCTCTTTGGGTGTCTGCCACTGTGTTTGACCACCCTCATTATGAGGCATTTCTACCTTACATTGAATGAGATTTTTCCCCAATGCAGCTTGTGACCACTGACACTCAACTTTTTGCTGCGCACCTCCAAAAAGAGTCTGACTCCCTCTCCTCTACAATTTCTTTCTAATTGCTTTTTGCTCTCACATATTCCACATCTGGTGATTGTTGAGCAATATGTTCATTCAGGAGGCACTGTAAGATTTCCTGATGGTAGGGCAGCTCTGCCAAAGTAGGCACTAAGATCTTCTAATTCCTAGTTTTCTGAAACCTTTTTGTGCGCTTGCCATAGAACTGTCAGCCTAAGCCACAGCAAGAGAAAGGTTTGATCCCAACAGTGGCAGAAGTCCTGTTTGCCTTGCATCAAAGGTTGCCTTGAAGGACAGCTTAGTAGCAGGGAAAATCCAGACCTACCAGAGGTGATTCATTTGACATTGGCAAGTCTCACTAAAATCACAAAAACATACATATCTCTACCAGTCCTTATGAAGTATTCCATATGCAATCAGCTGAAGGAGGAGAAAGTTCTTTAGCTCCTTCAAGAAAGAGTCATTTTCTTGAATAAGGTGCAAATGCAGTGTGTCAAGTAAGAGTCCTTAATAATGTCCCCAGAAGGAGGCTTGATGGACCTACCTCACCATTTGATGTCATTAGATGAGAGGATGTTTAAGCTACACATATCTCAAGTGGACACTAAACGCACACTGACCAATATCTGATCTTGTGGTCACAAAATGGGATAAACACACTCAAATAAGAATAATTTTATATTTGCAGAACAAGTCAACAGTGTAAATTATATTGGCAGGCAGTATAAAAAAGACCAAGTTTTTAGGAATTATGTTGCAATATAAACTACAAGCAAAAAACATACACGATTTCTGAGTCCACTGAATCAGTTACCAGAGGATCTTACAAATAAAGCATTATCACTCTAATGTTTAAAATTAATAAATAATTATCAGCTTACTTCTTTCTTACCATTGTAGGTTATCCTTGGCTTTGTCAAACACATCACAAGATGTAAATCCATTTCATCAGAAGATACAAATTTTGAACATACAGGGCACTTGAATCCTATGGAAAATAAAAATATGTAAGTGTAAGTACACTCAACCATGTTGCAAATACGTATACTCAAACCAAAAAACTATTCTGCACACATATTTGGCAGCTTTTCAGTTTTGACTTGACATTTCTTACATGAATATAATTCCCTTGACTTCAAAAGATCTCAAAATGGAACATTTTTTCTGCAAAATGATCTGTTGCCAATTGCAAACATGTCAGCACCTCTGGAACGCAAAGTTTCCCAACAAATCTAAGAACAGTTTAAGACAAGTGCAAGAAGATAATGTGACTCTACTAAAACAGAAATTAGAAGTGTATAGAGAACTTGGCCATTAAAGTCTGAACTTGGGCAGGAGTCCAGAATGAACATCTGCCATTTTACTAGGAATAGTATTGAAACTTTAACAAAGGATCTCAGTTTAAACCTCATCATGCTAGCTGCAGCATCTTTTACCAGTCTGGAGCGCGGGGAAAACATTAACTCAGGGGTGTCAACGCACCTACTGAAGCACTAATATTTCCTGTAGCACTGAATTTGTTTGACTTCTCTCATCCTAGCCAAGCATGACTTTGTTTAGCTTGTGAGGTCACAGCCTGAGGGAATATGGGGTAAAGAATAATTAAGACAGTCTGGATTGTGATGCAACTGCATAATAGTCCATGACAAAACTGCTTAATACTTTAATTTATGTAATTACCAAAGACAACAGTCTTCCAGTTAAAGGAAAAGATTGGTTGGACAAGTTTTACAGTCTACGTTCTGAGAAAAGTCTGACTGATTTTGATCTGCTGAATAATTAACACACAAGTGAGAGACAAAAAGCCACCAAGAGGGATCTTGATGCGTAACAGCTGTTAAGGAGTATACCCACAGGACAACATACAGCGAAAGTATCTAAATTCACGCTCAGTGCAAAGGAGCAACTTCTTTGATGCTGTTGAAAAGTAATGATGCAGCCAAAGGGCCACTGCACCTTCCACCAACATCCATATCTGGGCCTGCTTCCACATGTTTTAGTTTGTTGCCCCTTGCTTTTGTACATCAAACCATGGGAGTCCACAATGAACCAAGTCAGTTAAGGATGACAAGCGACTTGATGATGCACTTTCAAGTTACTGATGCCTGACAATTTTGATCTTTACTGTTAATTATTATCCAGATGTAGATCAAGCAACTAACCTGAAGCATTAGCACTTGATAGAAGTAATGCACTTAATTTATCAAGACAATGATTTTTATTTTTTTAGTGCAGCTAATAGGAAGCAAGTCAAACCAGACAACTGGTAACACCCATGAGGAACTCTGAGCAGCAGCTGAGCATGTACTGGAAACCACTTCCTGAGATAAAGTACAGTTCTGATTCTTCCCATTTTAGTCATAAGCAGTTCATACCTACTTCTTGTGTCAATCTTACACTTCAGTTTAAATATTGCTCTCCTCTCCTAATTTTTAATCCTCTTCCCCCATCCCACATCTTTACGAACAACAGTTACAACCACAGGTTAATAAACATACAACAGCCAAACACATCTTTTGGAAAAAACAAGTTGAAAGGATTAATTTACTTGTAGAAAACTTAGTCAATGACCCTTCAACCACTGTGTAACCTCCTTCCCCTGGGCTGCATCTCAACATGACTAAAATCGAAATTCGTATCTCAGTCCTCCAAATACCCAAAACCACCCATAACTCTTTTGTTATGTGTTTCTTCAAAAACTGACTCGGGGTAAATTTTCTCTCAACCTTTATCAGCATAATGCAGCTGATTAGTCTTAAGTCTAATCAAAACCTACTAACACCCATACACTATTCCCATTTATATAGTTCTATAAGGCATAATTGACAACATATTTTGATGTGAAAAAGCACGTAACTTCCTTATATGCTGCAGACTGAGTTCTGCTGTGCCAGAAGGGAGTGTTTGCATTACAGCAAGTTAACAATTATGTTAAGCACTGGGACAGGAATTAACAGGTTCCTTCTGCTTTTTTGACAGGACCCTTCTTAGCTTATTCCCTAGGGTCATCAGTACATCTAATCAGGAGTGACAGCGGGCAGGGAAAACTATCAATAGGTCTTTAGAACCATTGCTAAAGTTAACAGTGTTATTAGAAAGGTACATATCCCAGGAAAGCTTGGAGGGAATACTTAAATCCAAACAAAATAGAAGGGAGAGTTTGGGTAAATAATAATAATAATAATAATAATAATAATAATAATAATATGCTTTTATTTAAAACCATGCTTAAAGATAGACAACTATGAAAAATCTTTCTGGTTATCCACCTAGAGTATTCAGCTGAATGTGGTTATACTACCATATGCCTGCCCCTAAACCTAATAACAGTCCACATTTTAACAACATAGTATCTTGTGCCTTGACAAGTGTCAAGGGGTATGTGGAGACAGTAGTTCAGCAACTACAAATATCCTCCTGACACAGCAATTCTGGGATATCTGACTGATCACTCAGCACTCAGAACAGTACACTAAAGCTAAGCAGTAGAGGACACTACACTTAACTAAGCCTTATGGACCAAATTAGCAGCCAGTGGTAAGGGTGTCTTTGTGGAAAAGGATGTTTTTCCAGTGACCAGCATCAGCTGCAACTGCATGCCAGAGACTAGCATTACAGCTGAAAAAGTGCCTTGAGCTCACACCACCTGCTGAAACATTTTCAAACACAAGTGAAATCCCACTTCTCATTCCTTCGCAACGTTCTGCTGCAATAACCAACTCCTGGATTTAGCCATCTTCCCCAAGAGATGCAAAGTGTTTTGTATGAAGGAAATTACCATTTCCAACTCCTTTACTAACCCCAAAGAACAAATTATTTTGAGCGTAGACACATATTTACTTTATTTTTAACTGTATTTGAAAATATGAATAAGCGAACAATCAACACTGCCCATGAGGCAGTTAAAAGTCCTTAAAAAAAGCTGGTGTTTTCCCACCTTTCCTCAAATCAGAAGGTAATAGTTTCATGACCCAGTTTACAATTAAGTACTCCATAAGAACAAAGGCTCTATTGTACCACTTCCCAGCAGGCTAACAGCATTTATAGCCTATGTTTGTTTTTACCACCAGTTTCAAGGAACAACTCCGATAACTTTAAGAAAGTTTCACATGACTTTAACAATCAGCAACAGGTCAAAAATAACTTGATCTCTACATGACTTGTTTTACTGAGTTTTGCAGATAAACAACGAATTCACAGACTTTTGGGCAACAGTCATCAGATGAGGTGGCATCAGGTGAAGTGTCCTCTAAAAACTATGAAACTCAATGAACTACTTTCTCACTCTCTTTACAAGGAGAGCACAAGAGACAACGATGAGGGTGGTGAAACACTGGAACAGGTTGCTCAGAGAGGTGGTAGATACCCCATCCCTGGAAACATTCAAAGTCAGGTTAGATGGGGCTCTGAGCAACCTGATCTAGTTGAAGAGGTCCCTGCTCACTGCAGGGTTGTTGGACTAGATGACTTTTAAAGGCCCCTACCAACCCAAACTATTACGTGATGTACAGTTCTAGGTAAAAATTCAGCTTTTATGAAGGTGTTGGTTTCACAGCATCCCTCATCCTCACGCAAGATGAAGAACTATCACCTTTGTATTTGGATTGTCACTGTTTGTCAGCATACCACTGCAAAGCTGTCCTTCCTTCTCCCATAGTAGAGAGGTCATTGCCTGTGATACAACCTCAGTCAGCAGAAGAACCACCTCTCACCCCATTTTCTTTCTGTACAGCAGGAAAGAACTGAGCAGCAAAACTAAGCAGGAGCATGCCTCTAGCTGACCTGTCCAAGTGCATACTTAAGAGTCAGGGAGACAAATTCTTACAAGGCCCCATCATCTAGTTTCACAACCCTGAGCGCAATACTGGAAGTAACACATTACTTAAAACCACAATCCTGGAAAATAGTACAATTACAAGAAAAGAGAACAGAAAGTTGTGGTAAAGCTACTAGAAAATCCCAAGGTGGCACAGAAAGTTTGAAATAACTAAACCTGTGCAAGTAGCAGGACTTAAATATTCAGAGGTGAATTCTCTCATTCTCTCTTGAATGTATCACTTTCTTCAGACTCTGCTGTCTTTTGCCAATGAACCTCTCCTGTTAGCCAAGAAATCCCATCTTCTCTCACGTTCCTCTACAAAACTCATAACTTTCAGCTCTGGCAGGCTTGGAAACCATCCACAGGGACAGGTTGATGGGCAGCCACTCACTCTATCCATACTACTTTCAAGCTCTTATTGATACCTTACTGTGTTCGCTTTGCTTTGCAAACATCAGACTGTTTAACTTGCTGTTCACTCCAAAGCGAAGCAAACAAAAACCATCCAACAAATAACAAACTCCTGAACCTCTATAATTTTTGCAAAATCACATTGGCGTTCATCCTGGAATATCTACTTTGTGGTGGGAAAAAGAAGAGCTAAGAGCTTCCAGATGATACAGCGCCGAGTGTCACAGAATTGCACATAAAGGAAACATATTAAAGTGGTATTAGAATTGCACAGAAGAATGGATGATCATTTTGGACAATATTAAACATTAGTAGCAAGACATATCCATGAATGAAAACCTGCACCAAGACAAAAGACTGCCTCAGCCTGATCAGAGTAAACTTTTGGCAGAAAAAGTCTGAACTAGAACATAGCCAAAACCAAACTGAAAGTATAATCCAACTAGCTGTCCTTTTAAAAAGAAGTATCTAACATATCAGTATTTTAAGTTTTTGTATGCTTGTGTTTCCAACCAAGATGGATAAATGCATCTTGCTTTACATGTAAAGAAGCCATAAGCTTCTTCATAAGCCTTGCATACATAGATTTTGTAAAATGTGTTTGGCAATAAGAAGCCTGACAGATGTTACTTACATACTTGCACTTGTTCTTTGGTACTTAGAAAAATAAGAATAGACAATCTGGAAGGACAGCACCCAGTAAATATGATGGTATGCAGGGTGGTATGCAAGATTACTGTCACACAAATAAAACCTGCGTAATAATGCTAAAACAAAATAAAGTAAGTCATTGTCCTGCCAACAGAAAAGACCTCACATAATCAGAGCAGCGTGTTAGAAAGGACCTCAAGAGGTCACCAAGTCTATCCCATACTGGAAAACTGGGTTAAATGTACTTAGAGGATTTAATCCGCTCTAAAAATCAACTAGTGAAAGACTTTACAGCCATCCTAGACAACCTACAATGCTGATCAGCTATTCCTAGAGAGTTAGAAAAATCTTCCCTTACAGAAAAGGTTGATTAGTTCTTATGCGTCCAGTAGAAATGCAAAACAGTCGGTAACTGTCCTCAGTACAAAAAAACATGTTCACTGGAAAACGTGTGCCCTTTTTCCTATTTCCAATAGCCTGAAAAAAACTCAGTTACTCTAATTTTTCCTCGCAGGCTCTGATGCCTAAACCTTTTATTCGTATTGCTGTCCTCTGGACTCTCTCCAATCTTAACATACCACATTGCCAAGAACTTGGCAGAGCTTTCAGGCTAAGTCCTGAGCAGTCAGTCACAAGTCCTAAGCAGAAATTAAGAGTTACCTATCACATCCTTCTGTTACACTAGGTTGAATATCTATATATAGATCTATCTATACATAGCAATATCATAGAATGGTTTAGGTTGGAAGGGACCTTAAAGATCTAGTTCCACCCCCCCTGCTATGGGCAGGGACACCTTCCACTAGACCAGGTTGCTCAAAGCCCCATCCAGCCTGGCCTTGAACACCTCCAGGGATGGAGCTTCCACAACTTCCCTGGGCAACCTGTTCCAGTGCCTTACAACCCTCAAAGTAAAAAACTTCTTCCTAATGTTTAATCTAAACCTGCCCTCTTATGTACGTGCATATAGGTATGTACATCTAAATAAACCAACAGATGATTCCACTCACGACCTATATAAACCCTAAATATTCAGCAGAACTATTACTAGTCAGGTCCCATTTTGCAGTGGTATGTTTTATTTCTCCTTATATTCAGTGATTCTCATTATG